GAGAGAGAGACATTCATATATATCTATATATATAATATATACTATATATATATATATATATAATATATATCATAATATATATATAATATATATATATATATATATATATATATATATATATTGTTACACGATATTATATATAATATATATATATATATAGATATATATATATATAATATATATATATATATATATATATATATATATCTATATAGTATATATATATATAGATATAGATATAGATCTCTCTCTCTCTCTCTCTCTCTCTCTCTCTCTCTCTCTCTCTCTCTCTCTCTCTCTCTCTCTCTCTCTCTCTCTCTCTCTCTCTCTCTCTCTCTGAGAAAATATGCCCTCAATAACAAATGGCCGTATCCGACAATTTTGAGGGGACCCTTTTACCATCAGGGGTCCTTTGTTGACCCTGTGCCCCCTTGCCAAGGTTCTGGCTGCGCCTCTGGCTCTGGCTATGCTCCTTCTTACATACAAAAGCAGATTAAGTGGGCTACATCCCATGAGGGCATTTGAATGTCCGTTGGGTCATCCTATGTCAAGGAGGGTGGCCTTCCGAAAGCTGTCTTATTTGCCAAATGGCACAGATAGGTAAAATGGGTAAGATTGTGCACCAATGAAAAACAACCGTAGATGTATATCTGGCATAACAGCCGTGACATGTAATCACTTGCAAAATATGTTACATAAATTAAGAGCGGACAATAACCGCCACATCTACTTCCCTCCTTCCGATTACCGGGTTTGCTTCCCAGAAAAGTTCCTGAATTATACCCTGAGCGTGTTCTCTCCCCCCCTCCCCCACTTTCTGAAACATTCCTACGCCTATGGGTGTATCGTATCCTCATGCACGGCGCACCATCGAATCCAAGACGCCCCTGTATCTAAACACAACATACGCACAGGCAACAAAACTCACGATAACCACGCGCGGAACACGGATTGATTCTATTTCCCAGCAGCCTGTTCGGAAGATTCTCAGCCCCTCCCGCACCTCTCTTTCAACCGAGCCCACCGCGCAGACCAAGACGAATAATACTGTTGAGTCGCTCCTGGCTGAGCGTTCGGACGTTCGTGCACTCCCGTCCCCAGGCTGGCCGGCGTCCAGCCCTCTGAAGCCGGAGGGTTGGAGCAGCCCCCCCCCCCCCTCCGGCTTCCAGCCTCCAGCCCTCCGGCTTTTATATAAATATTTGGTTCTTCCCATCATTGAATATGGATCCGTGGTGTATGCAGGTGGCAGGGAAGGCAGTCTAAAGTTCCTAACTCTCACACAAAAAAGGTTTTCGTGGCTTGCACAAGGAGCACTGCAGATATCCCCAATTTCGGCACTGGAAGTAGATGCGGGCATTATGTCTCTGGCCTGTCGACGTCTTGAGCACACCATAAGGTATGTCACGAAGATTAGACAAAATTCCAGTCACTCTACATTTGCCTCAACACATATATTGCCACGAGTTCACCATACATACTTAAGACGACCAAAACGTCGCTCGGGCCTTACAATCGCGTCTCCAATCCCCGTGTGTTTTGTCATAGTTTAAATCGTGTCCTACCGTGAGCCTCCGTGCCACCCGCCTTAGCAGTGTCCCGCTGGCAGCTGGCACCTCGAAAAATTTTGTTTATTTATGCTGACTCTAATCTCATCGTGACAGCAGCTTATGTACTACAAAAATGCAATCGCATGATCGCAAAATATCCACACTTTCGCTCCATTTGTACCGACGGCTCCAGGGCTGAAAATCACATCTTATTGTCTTTCTTGATAGTTTTTCACGTCTTTTTCATAATATGGAAACTTCTTGGCAGACGGCTGTTTTTTACTGGCACTTAACGGCGCGGCATATACAAATTCGTTGCTTGGCAACGGCGGCAAACCCACGGTTGGTAGAAGTGAGGCCCTACAAACGTTAATACAATTGCCTGTGGCTGATCCGTTGTCGATTGGTGTAATCGTTCAGGTCGCTGGGTTCTGCAATGGACATACGGCGGTTCTGTGGGAAAAAGCTAATAGCCATTTGATGCTCTTTCATCCCCAGTTCGATATGCGCTGTGCAGTTGCTTCTTTTGGGTCTACAGTGTCACAAGACAGGGCAAGAAAGCAGGACAGGCCTGCCACATCTGCAGGTCTGCATGGCGTGGCTCACCATAACTGGTGGATTTCGTTGGATGTCAGAAGCAGGAGATAGAAGCGAACTGAAATCTTGTATGCAATTCGCAAAATATCGAAATAATCAGAGATCCATATGTGTGGAAAGGTGTCAAGGGAAGAGGGAGGAGTGTGTTAGACTTGACGGGAAGGGGGGGGGGGATGGAGAGGCGAAGTTGTTTATTGTGAACTGTAGGTATAGACACGTTTTCCACTCATTACTTAGCCCGAATTTTATTCGGTATGACCGATAAAAATGGACCATTTTCTTGAAAACGACATTCAGCCAGCAATGTGCTAGCCAGCCTGTGCTAATATATTTGATTTCATTCATTACCTTGTCAGGGCTCATTGATCATGTTCCCTTACTGAGCCTCTTTAGTCTTTGCTGCTAGAAAGAGCTGGCCCCTGGCCCCAGGGGAATGTTCATCGTTCAGCACGGCCACGGCAAGGCAAGGGGCTGGCAATGGATCAACCACCCCAAAACAACTCCCCATTCTCATTCCCCCCCCCCCCCGCCGGCATTATAGGATCAGGTGCAGGGGATCCTGGAAGATACAAGTCTGACCAAAATCTTAGAAGGCACTGACATTCCAAAAAAGGCTGTCTTCCATGGCAGAAGTTACACGAAACGCAGGATTCTTTCAACGCAACACAGGCGGTAGCAACATACGCAATGTTCAATGAACCGGCATTGAACTTGTTTAGACATACAATGAACTTTGCCGTTACCAGAAAGGCACGATTTGAATGGAGTGAGGTGGGGGTGGGGGGTGGGAGGAGGGTCCCCCTCTTCCCTGCTTTTTTCGTGGTGGAGCATTGCGGAGTAGTTGCGCGCGGAAAGACTGAATGTAAAAGGAGGTACCGCCCCCCCCCCCCCCCCTCCCTCCCCCGCAACACAAGCGCTCATTTGATCGTGCATGCATCTTTGCCAATGTATGGTGGTTTGCACTGGGTGTTTTCATGTCAGGTGGTGGGAAATACCAGTTCAAGTGAAACATGCCGTGTCCAGTTAACATTATATGTGGATTTTAGGATGGCGCCGGTGTCGGGCCCGTGTCACTTGTCGAACGTTTGCGATACCTCTCAGTACGGTTTGCGTTAGCTCCTGTATCTATGTTTCCAGCCTCCATTCGAGCCCATTCCCGTTCTCGATTCCCGCACGACTGCTGCTGATGATGGCGAAGGGGACATTGACGAAGGACAGCCTGCTGCGAAAAGGATGGCAATGCTTGGTTAGTTCGGATAACATTTTGTGTCTATTGTTTTATGTTTCTACCCATCAATGTATTCTAGACCAAAACAGCTGGGCATTTGTTGCAAACCATCTTTCCCTGATATGCGATCACCACTCATTATTTGTTCCTGTGTAAATATTACGTTCCCGATCAAATCATCAGGTGAACCAGCAGCAAAGCACCACTATTGGATTCCAGTGATCATTAACAAACACGTCCCCGCCGGGCCTCAGATGGCCCTTCGCCGGGCCGGAGAAAGGGCGGATTTCCGCCCCCTTCGCCCATGATCTCGGCCCTATTGATGACATGGAAAAAGGCACCGGCGGAAAGGTATTGACGGCATAAGGCAAAAGCACATGTACTTTTTACCCATGTCAATGTTGAGATCACCACAGGTCCCCAATCCCGAAATTCTATCTCTTCGCATGGGTCAGGTCAAGTTTGTGATTATTCCAAAATGGCCCACATGGACAAGGATAACACGCTTTCTTTCTTTCTGCTCGTGACCAAACTTTTATGGCTGAATTGTATTCATGACTATGTGAGATAACAAAGCACCGAGGCAAGGAGTTAACAAAGCACCGAGTGCCATTTTAGGTGACGTTAGGGTCAAGCTTAAGGTCAAGTGAGGGCACATTTTCAAACGCTCAGAATCGAAGAATTCAGTGTTTTAACAGGGACATTGTAACATAATGTTTTTCAGGTAAGAGCACGTCCAGTGATGACTGTGAGAGGCCAAGAGATGCATTTTACTTGTCTTGTACTTCGACGACCTCCGGTCCCCAATGCTACTTTTGTTGCCCGCGGCATGCATGAGGAAAGTTCTTATGTTCATCTAGCGTCTAATTTAGTACCTTAGTTTGCTTTTTGACTCTGTTTTTGCGTGCCACAACGGCCCATTTACGACCAAAATATATTTCGCGCACACCTGAGGTCATCACAGGTCACTTATCTCGTATGACCTCTGGTGGCCCTTATTTAATCGCCAATGTCATTAGAGGCTATTTTGACCGTGCATTCGAAACCAGCGTCCATTTTTACTTTGCAGTCTAACAAACTGCCGATTATGGACGAACAGGCTGTGTTTTACAACATGCACCCATGTCGTTGGGTCGTGGCCTTACCTAAGGTCACGGTCCTCTGACGACATAGTGGTGGTAAATTTTAGGGCCATACTGTTGATTATATATCAGCAGCAGCAGGCTGCATAAATTTAACAGTGATCAGTTGAAGCTTGAGCGGCTTTATTTTTAGTTTGCATCTAACTGATGTTAGGTGCATTGCAGAACAAGTAAATAGCTCATAAAGTTGCGCTTCGTGTCGTTTTACTGTAACCTGCCATAACATGCACCTTATGAATTAATCCAGTGCAAAACATATCCCATTGATCTGAGACTGAAGATAGCGTGCGAAACGCGTAATCATGTTAGTGACTCGTGTGGTGATAACCCTGGTGTAACTGACCCGCGGCGGGTTATTTATGTCCTGAAAACCTGATCCTTATGTAGAATGCGTACGAGGGTTGTGCTATCTTATCAGGATGTTCGTCTGAACATGACGCGACACACGACTGGACCTCAAACTCCTTACAAAGGAGGAAGCCACTTGCTCAGCATCTGCAGTACTGCCAGTGCCATGATGTCTCCGAAAATAATGACAGACTCATGCCCAGGCGATGGCTGCTGCGCACAGTCAACGGTGAACGGCCGACTTGTCATCAGTGTCAGCTGCCTGGGCACCGCGAGATTTGACCCGCGTCCGGAGGTGGCGGCCTTCCTGGCAAACAAAGACAGGCGTAACCGTCAACCGGACCCGGAGAAGTACAAGCAGCGTGCATTTGCCAAGAAGTTCTTCCGCTCCGAGGGATCCCTGTAAAGTGTACTGGGTCACGTTGGGAGCACGCGTGTCAGCGAACTGTGGCGTCGTGGAAGCTGTTTGGTTCTAATCTGACCATGGCCGCCTGCAATACATGTGAACGACCTACTTTTGACTCTTCCTTCGAATGTTTCCAGCTTTGATGCCACTCTTGGCGTGATTTGCTCCATTATCATCCAATTGTCAACAGTTCAAATGCGATGATGCACTGTCATGTGCATGACACAGGATGTACACAAAGCAAAGCCGTCCTGGGTAAAACTGCCCGTTGTTTAACCTTCAAGTTAACGAGCTCAGACAGGTCATTAGTCAATTGCAGTGAGGTTGTAAAACAGATTGGAAATATTGAAACCTGACACATGACATCTATCTCCGTCCTAGGAGCTTCGGAGCCTCAGTAAGATGGCATAGGCGTCCGATGTCCTCATTAGGCATTCATCTATTACGATGCATTTACGTCAAGACATTAAGGCGGATTGCTGAAAATGAGTTAAGTAAGATGCATCGTGCAGGCTATCATTGTATTCAGATCGATTACTACGTGACAAAAACTTACCAGCGGTCCTCCAGTGTTTGCGGAAAAAGCAGAACAAATGTACATCGTGGAGATAATTGAAACTCAGCAAACATGTCCCGTTTGTGTTCAGCTGACAGTTCCGGGTAAAATAACCTGAAAGGAAGATATCTTCGAAGTTATTTCACTTCATGATTTATTTGGACGATCTTTCTAGGGGTGGAATCTCCTGTAATGCTTTTGGCGGGGCCTGGGCCCCACCAACATTTTTGGAGAAGCTCCATCCATAGTTGTTACATTGATTTTCCGGTCGGTGCTATCTTAAAAATTCTGCGAAATCGACTGAGAGGTTTGCTTAATGAGGAATGGGGGCTATGATAATTTTTTGGATTGCTCCTTCCCCCCCCCCCCCCCCCAGTGACAATTCCTTATCCGAGGCCCTGACACCCGCCGCCTGGTATGCTCTGCAGTGGCCAACGCCGTTCACCCTATGGAAACTGCAACCCAGACCGTTGGTGTCCTTGCTCTCGAGGTTGTGGGTGCGCATGTTCAAACCTTTCGATGTAATTTGTTTCACTGACTCATTCTGAAAAAGGACAAACGCTCCCAGGCAAACATGCGATGGCTTTATTCGTTTTCGTTTTTCGCGCGGAATAACTTCAGCTTCTTTACGTTGACGCAGGAGGCCTTCTGGCCCGCGCAATGGGCTCCGGACCAACACAGGAACCCTCATTGACGCATCAACGTTCCTGATCGCCGCGGCTGATCCAAAAATTGTCACAGAGGCCTCAATTCCATACTTGTTCTGTTTGTTCCGTGTTCTTCAGGAATATTGAGGAACCCAGAATGTAGATTGCAGATGGAAATGGGCTCTAAATTTATATTGACATGGCCAGCCAATGTCGTCTTAAAATGCTCAGGCTTCAGTCAGAAGTAATGTTTTATAAAGATTATTGTAACATGGTTTTGAACATGCGCGCTCTTAAATCTTGGCAACAACCCCTACGCCCGGAGTTGCAGTCTCCAAAGGCCGCGTGGCGTCGGCACCGCAGCTATGACACTAAGCGACGGCCAATGGGCAGACCAAAAAGAGGACGCATCTGGGGGAAGATGGCTGGCATATAGGTAAGTCGGCACAGATGTGAAAGGTAGTGCAAAAGTAAGCCAGACGCATCCTTGATCTGAAAAAAATCGGGATTGGGCAGATAACATCACCGCGCCCTCTCCACCTCGGAGGCCCGCGGAGACAGGTTTGCAATTTTGGCAAAGCCGCATTCACACTGCCAGCTTGATATGGCAGCCCTTTAGCGGGCGACGGCTTCTCACCGGCAAATGGAGAACATGGAGGCCAACTGGTGGCGAACAGCCGGCGCATAACAGCCCCGCTCCTGCAACCCACGGAAGGAACGACTGGTATTTTTTCGTGTCTTTCTTCCCGGAACGACATCAGTCAAACTTAATCTTGGCACACTATGCCGATATCCCAGCGCTGGACCCTCATCGCCGTCCCTGTCTCGATTCCGGTCCGCCTGCTCCACCCCCTAGGACTTCGGCTCCGGCTCCAGCCCAGCCCAGCCCAGCCCAGCCCAGCCCAGCCCGGCCCGGCCCAGCCCGGCCCGGCCCGGCCCGGTCCAGCCCGGCCCAGCCCGGCCCAACCTGCAGGGCTCGGCCGGGCTGCTGGACTGGGGCCGCGGCTGAGCCTGGACCAGGGCCTGCGCCGCCAGGCCACATGGCCGCCGGGCCGGGTTCCTCCCGGGTTTCCCCTCTCCCCCAGGTAGCGCTTTTCTCCACACCGACGGGCTGACAAAAAATCCTGGCATCGTCGTCAGCCTGTGTGTGACGCTACAGCCGCATGACTTGTTTATCACATGACGTGCGTGAGGAGAATACTGGGCTGTGATCGGTCCTGACAAGGTGCCGACGACGGATCGAACGCTGGTCTCAACTCGTGACTTTAGTGGAATGTTCCACGTTTATATGAAGTTTTGAAATGAAAAAGCCACCTTGAAGATCTTACGGTGCTGTTCGCAATCATGCCCTTCTTAAGGCCTGGGCGCCTCTAATTTCCAAGCTCCACCCCCGCGAAAACGGGAAAAAGTATATCGGGAAGAGCATTTCAGTCACCATGGAATTCATGACGTCATTAAAAAGTCATTCAAATCCTGCCATTCTATAACGCATGCGATGATTAAGGCCATACAAATATCGCTGTTCATATCCGGCGCTCGTTAGCGTGATTTCCAGATACAGCGGTCGTCACATAGCTCTCAATTAATGTTGTGCAAGGTAAGGCGAGGCAATGAAACCATGGCGCATCGGGAAGAGTATTAACTTGGCAGATGATTTAACTGTCTAGAGCAGTCTTTTTCACTTAAAGCATGCCAAAAGCTATAAGTGAGCTTATTTCATCACATCCGATTCCCGTTTCAATATCTCCAAATGTGAAACATTCCCTTGCGAATAGGTTTTCTTTCGTTCTACGCTTTTGGCGGGCAGCTGCCAAATATTTGGTAGTACTTCGCTGGGGGAGGGGAGGGGGGGGGGAGGGAAGGGGAGAAAGTGGCGCATCTGTTTCGAGGGAAGGCACTCCATGTTAACCAGGAGTTGGCCGGGGCTGCATATTTCTCGGTGACCGTGCAATTGTCCGCGGGGCCGTCGATGCGGTATTGTTTTCCATGTCAACAATAAAATCATGAGAGTCGTTGCTCTTGTTAGTGGGGGCAAAGACAGCTGCTATAATATGATGCAGTGTGTCAGTGCGGGACATGAAATTGTTGCCTTGGCAAATCTTCATCCTCCCCGCCAGTCTGAGGGTAAGGATTTCAAGCTACGTGAATAATGGTTCCAACTATCGTCCGCATAAGCGGTGCCGTTTTTCTTCTGAAGTTAAGGTATATAAAAGACGAATAATGTGATTCCTGTCAACTGTTTGCGTGGACCTATTCAAAACAATTCCCTGAAATGGTAAAATCTAGAGATTGGCAGTCAACTATGATGCCTTAATAAGTGAGGAATTCTGTTTAGAAGGTGTCATCTTGCCATCGGGCATGACAAATTATGAGATAGGTACTTTTTAGTACAGTACTTTATCTTATTAGCACACTTTTTGTCCTGATTGGATGAAAAATCTTACCTTACTTTTTACACTTGTCAGGATTTAGTAAGGCAAAAGCCTGTAGGCCCAATGCTTGCCATACTCATGTGGTTGGTAACTAGGCTTGGTCTTGGATTGGAATATGGTACACTTTTTAGGTCTAATGATGATCAAGCCTGAACTTGAAGGTGTTGAGGGGTGTAGACAGAGCTACCTGTGAGGGACGATTGTTCCAATCATTGATGGCGCATACACTGAACATATTTGTGTACACTGTGGACATATTTGCAGACTTTAGATGATGCTTGTGGTTTAGAGAGCTTCCAACAGTGGCCTCTACTACTCCCCAGCATCAAGGAAGGAACAAAGTCATCAGGATTTAAGTCTATGCTTGAATGGAGGAGGTGGTACATGTCTACTATATCTCCCTATCTCCTTGACATGTTTGGTAACACAGAGAAGTTAGCTTCATATGCTAAAGAAGCATATTTTTTGTCAATATAGGTTATCCCTGATATTTGCCATCATTCTAGCCATGCACCCTTGTGCCCACTCTGCAAGCTTTTGGTCTGTATAGTTAATGGTCCCCATATGATTTTATCATATCCTATGTGGAGCTGTCATGTAGGCTTTGTACAGAAAAGGTTGCATTTTTACTTCAATGTTTTGTCCACCAACAAAATCTTTGTGGCCTTTGAGGGTGCAGATGCCACCTATTTCCAAAATTTTAGGTTCTGGTCTACTGGGATGTCCAAGTCTCTCCTGATCTGTTGACTTGTTGCTGTAAGATGTGAACCCTGCACTTACATATGTGCTTCAGATTCCTGGACCCATTGTGCAGAGCTATATGCTTTGATTCATTAATGGGAGTTGCCATGGTCGGACCACGCCATGGCAGTGTCAAAGACACACTGGAGGTCTCTAATTTGCCAGGTACAGCTATGCTGCCATAACCTTTAGTGTCATCATGAGTATTTTGATTGAGGCTGTCATCACATCAGACATATGGTCTTTGTAAATGATAAACAGAAATGGTCCCATGACCAAACCCTGAGGAATGCCACTGATGATGGGGGACCACTGATGATGAGTGAGCACTCCTGGCTTCCCCGCTTTGCTACCAGCCAGTCATAAAAGCTCCAATCCACTGCAACAATTTGTCAGACACACAATCAGCCTGCAATTCACTAAGAAGGTATTTGTGTGGCACAGAATAGGAAGCCCAATGAAAATCCAGATATATTGCATCTCTTGGTTTAGCCAGGTCAATCAGTCTGCTCCAATTGTCAAAAACCTCCAGGAGTTAACTACTGTACAACCCCTTGGGATGGAATACATGCTGGTGGTTTGACAGCTGCCCAGATGAGTTCAAGTAGGTTATCAGCAGGTCTCTGATGATGAACTCTGAAATGTTGCAGGTTATTGTTGTCAAGCTGATGGGTTGACCATTTCTGTGTAATTGCCTGTCTCCTTTCTTATGAATGGGCACTACTGAGGACAGTTTTCAGTCTTCAGAAAGGCTGCCACACTCCAGAGACATGTGGAACAGCAAAGGCAGAGGAGCACAGATAGTTTTTGATGCCTTATGCAGTATCCTATAGTGAAGTCTGTCAGGCCCGGGGGGACTGGACACCCTCAGTGTTCCCAGTTTTTCAGTAATGTTGCATTTTAAAATTTCTATGCTTTCTGACCTGGGTGTGTTGTGCTGCCAACATGGTTCTGGAACAACTGAAGTAGCATTCTTAGCATACACCACTAAAGAAGATGTTGGGGAGTCAGCCTTTCCATGGTCATTGCTCCTTAGCACCCCATCTTGGTCATGTAGATCTTTGATGCCTGTCTTAGCTTTCAGTTGCAAGTTAGTGTACTGTCAGGATGCTTTTGGGTGAGACTTGATACCTTCAGCAATACATTTTTCAAACTCACTTCAAAGACTTCTGGCACAAGTTTTGAGATCATTAAACACTGTATGAACCAAACATAATGAACTAGATCATTGAATCAAGTATAGATCCTTCACAATGAGTCCTTCTTTTTCTTTAGCTGCAGGGCCATCCTGCTTATGTACGAATTATTCTTCCTAGAACATGTGCTGACCCTTAAATATAGAGGTATTTGGTTCCATGAAATGTCATGTGGTTTTTGTCATGTGAATAGGTTGTTATTGTTAGATTGGTTTCTTTACCTAAGTTGGCTGAACTATGTATTCTCAGATGAGATGGACAGCTACATGTACCAAACAGTGGGACACAGTAGCATTCATCTGTATGCTGAAGCCATGGATCTGCCTCTGTATCGAGCATCAATAAAGGGAGCAGCACATGCCAGTGACAAGGAGTACAGTCCAACAGAGGGGGATGAGGTGGAAGACCTCCACAGACTCCTTAGTAAAATAAAAGTAAGTGTTAACCTCACATATAATTGTGATAAAGATTGCTCAGCATTATTATTAAAATGCATGGCAAAATTGTTCTGCAGTTTGATCACTCGGGCAGTTAAGTCATTGTGCTTAGAAGAAACTGTTGTTCTTGCATTCATGTATTCAAATGGTAAAGCCAAAGACAAATAGCCTTGCACTTTGTGTTCAGTATATGCTAGCAATTTTTTAGTGTCCTCAGCTACCTCCTCTTTTAAGTTATGTGTTCAGCACATAGACCATTTCAGTGTGACTTGTGTGCAATAAAAGGTCTGTGTTCCAGGATGATGTCAATTTTGAGGCAGTCTCAGTTGGAGCTATTCTGTCTGATTATCAGCGAGTTCGTGTAGAAAATGTGTAAGTTGGGGATCATTTGCAGTTTTGCTGAATCTGTTTAGATTTGGAAAAGGCACAATTTTATATCACCATGATATTGTGGTTTCACTGGGCTTGGATATCTGAGCTGTTTCTAGTGCATTTTCGGTGATGGTGGCAAACATGTACACATTTCTTGGTACATCTCTGCTGCATGATCTGTCACACTTCATGCCTCTGCTCCTGCCCCCCCCCCCCCCCCCACTCCCCTACCCAACCTTCTGTAAATTCTGCTGTCAAGCAACATAACCAAATATACCACATATCCAAAACATGTGCACTTCTAAATGGACTGATATCCACTCATTATCTCCAATATGTTTATGTACAACAAATTCATGTAGTTTTGTTGCAAGATTGTGTATGATCCAGCTGAATTTCACTGCCTTGTTACCATACAATGACTGTAAGCCCTCATGGCAGGGTTCCACATGTCTGCATTGTTGCATGCTCGTGGCTGGCTCTGATGTCCCTGTGTGTGCGTGTTAGATGCTCGCGGCTGGGCCTGACCTCGCTGGCCTACCTCTGGCGGCGGGACCAGGCAGAGCTGCTGCAGGAGATGATCAGCTGCCAGGTGCATGCGGTGCTGGTCAAAGTAGCTGCGCTCGGCCTGCTACCTGACAAACACCTGGGCCAGAGTCTGCAGGAGATCCGGCCGCACATGGAGCTGATGGTGGGTACCACAGCCAACCAACAGCACAAGGGAGCTGATGGTAGGTACCACAGCCGACCAAAAGCACAAGGGAGCTGATGGTGGGTACCACAGCCGACCCACAGCACAAGGGAGCTGATGGTGGACACCACAGCCGACCCACAGCACAAGGAAGCTGATGGTGGGTACCTCAGCCGACCAAAAGCACAAGGGAGCTGATGGTGGGTACCACAGCCAACCAAAAGCACAAGGTGATGGTGGGTACTACAGCCAACCAAAAGTACAGGGGAGCTGATGGTGGGTACCGCAGCCAACCAAAAGCACAAGGGAGCTGATGGTGGGTACCACAGCCAACCAAAAGCACAAGGGAGCTGATGGTGGGTGCCACAGCCAACCCACGGCACAAGGGAGCTGATGGTGGCTACCACAGCCAACCAAAAGCACAATGGAGCTGATGGTGAGTACTGCAGCCAGCCCACGGCACATGGGGACCTGATGGTGGACATTCCGGCTGACTCACTGTGCGTAAGAGAGGTAAATGAGAGCTGGACTGTGACGTGGGCTTCAGGCTCTTGCATGGTATTATCACGGCAGCTGGCGTGAAGGGCTGCTTGACCTCTAGTAGTTGGTCCTGTGTAAGGTGTGAAGCGGAATGAGCTTGAAAGGTAATTTTCACCTGTTTTTAGCAGTTATGCTCGTGATGGGTAAAGCACTAGTATGGCTGAACACAGTCACAGTCAGTGGGAACATTCAGACCTCTGTTGTCGGTTTATTTGACCAATCTGCCAGTGCTGGAATACCATTGCATGCTGTTTGTGGTGGTCAGTGGTGTGTTGAATCATGGACATTTGACCTCCTTATATTTGGTTTCCGTTTTCTTTTCAGGCAGAACGATATGGACTGAACGTTTGTGGAGAGGGAGGGGAGTACGAAACGTTCACGTTAGATTGTCCGCTGTTCAAAAAGAGGATTATTGTGTGAGTTTTACGTCTATTTTCTGCATGCTAATCCGATGATGCACAGTTCATGTAGCTGTAGTCGCTTTATGCTGCTTTGCGTATTTTGTCTTGTCTAGAGCTTTTTGATTTCGGAAACTTGGCGTATGGTCCATTTCAGTGTAGCAACATGCAGCTAATAATTCGGCTCACTGCTACCTGTATTCACGTTCGTTGTGTGTCAGACATGTTGTTGTTTTTTTGCCAGCACCACTGCCTAACCAGATTGTTCTTGTTTCTAGCGATGACCAGAAAACTGTGGTGCACTCTGACGATGCCTTCGCCCCTGTTGCCTATCTCAACTTCACCCGCACACGTCTGGAAGATAAAGATATGGTATGTCTCGCATCTTGCCCGTTGGTGAATATTCACGCATTGCCAGCCTTTGCCAGTTGCAAGCATGCGACGCATTTCGCAATTTCGTAACAACCAGTTACTGGAAATGCGGTGACATAACTTGAGCACCAAGAGTACGTGTTATGTGATTGAGTCATAAGCACCATTTGGTTGGTGAGGTACCGGGCGAACCTTACTAATCCAATAATCGGGTTTGGTAAACCGAGAATACTGACGAATTTTGTAAAATGAGAAGCTGTGTTGTATTATACTTCCTTTCCCGATCTCAATGCAATAAAGTTGCGCGCAAAATTGGTGATGCGTGATGCCGTTCCAAAATTGTGGCATTATCGTTTCGACCATTATCAAGTCTCCCATGGGAGGTCTTGCCAGGACTAGAGCAGAACTGCCTTGACCAGCTGTCTTGGAGAGTCCCGTCGAATGTGTCGATTCAGTGTGCGTCAGTGTAGCACACGGCGATGACAGCAGCGCCTGTGATCGGACATGAGTACTCGTTGTTCAGACACTGCTGACCGGGCAGGGTGACCTGAGCCAAGCCCAGCGGATCCAGGGTCTGCCCTTGCCGTCCGTCCGCCCGGCGCTGGTCGCGGAAACTCGGGCGGCCGCTCTTGCAAATGGCAGCACCGAGTGTCCGCCAGACGACGCTACCATAGCTCCGGAACCGTCCGTGGCCGAGTCGGAGGGCTGGTTCTGGATCGGCCCGATCGACGGCCGAGAGGGCGGAGGCCAGTCCGGCCTCGCAGTCGCACTGGACCAGCTCAGTGGTGAGTGGGGGGAATGCGGGCCGGGCCCATCCCACCGCGTTTACGCGTGCTCATCTCCATCGTTGCCAACTTGGACCCGCGTAAACACTAGAACTCTCGGAGGCGGTTTAGCTCCGTAGTCGCTGCTCGCAGCTGCGTGCTTTGCGTGGCCCTTGCTGATCGCGCGGCGTCGCCGCCAGGCCTGACCGCGCGCCGCGCCGCCGCCAGAGGTGCTCTCGGCGCACCAGCTGACCGTCCGTGACCTGGCGCTGGTCGGCATGTACGTGGCCCGGCTGTCGCAGTACGCGGCCCTGAACGCCGAGTACGTGCGCCGCGTGGGCGAGAGCGGGCCGGCGCGCGTCTGCTTGCAGGCGCCGCTGCCGGCCGGCGTGACCGTGCGACTGGAGGCGGCGGCGCTGCGGCCGGCGGCCGCTCCCCGCCGCGCCCTCCACGTGCAGAGCGTGTCACACTGGGCGCCGGCCAATATCGGCCCCTACAGCCAGTCGGTGCAGGTGAGCGGGCGACGGCCGCGGCGCGTGACGCCCGGTGGCATGCAGGTGCGCCGTCGGCCCCTGCTGTCGCCAGGGGCGCCGTGGGCTCTGGGAGACGGACCTGCTCTGGATGTCCGCTCGTGGTGTTGTTTCTCCGGTTGGCTGGAGGGAGCGCTTCGGTGCCCAGTCTGGAATGGTCTGAGCTTGCTCTGGTTTTGGATCTGTCACTTAGTAGGTTAAGTCGATACGACTTAACCTACTCTGTCTGGTCTCTGTCTGGCGTGTCTCTGTCAGGCGTCATTCTCGATCCTGTTTTACTTCATAAAAGGCACGTGGCTGGCCTCTGACTCTGCCACTGGTCACGCGCCCCGCTGTGCCGCCGTAACGCGCCCCTCTCCGCCCCCAGTGCTGTGATGTGCTGCACGTGGCCGACCTCTTACTGCACCGCCGGTAACGTGTTCCCTCTCCGCCCCCAGTGCGGTAACGTGCTGCACGTGGCCGACCTCTTACTGCACCGCCGGTAACGTGTTCCCTCTCCGCCCTCAGTGCGGTGACGTGCTGCACGTGGCCGACCTCTTACTGCACCGCCGGTAACGTGTTCCCTCTCCGCCCTCAGTGCGGTGACGTGCTGCACGTGGCCGACCTCTTACTGCACCGCCGGTAACGTGTCCCCTGTCCGCCCTCAGTGCGGTGACGTGCTGCACGTGGCCGGCATGATCGGCCTGGACCCGGCCAGCATGCGTCTGGTACGCGGTGGCGCCAACCAAGCGCGGCTGGCGCTCCGCCACGTGCGCCGGGTGATCGAGGCGTCGGTAGCGGGCGCCGACGACGGCTGGGTGGCGCAGGTGAGGAGCTGACCGGCAGCATCGCTGGCCGGCACGCCATGGCCGGGCTCAGGGGCGCACCACCGGCGGAGACCGACGCTCGCTCACTGCTCGCGATCTGGGATATGTCCCCGATGGCCCAGGAATGGGCTCTGGTAGGGGTATGGACAACGACATGAATGCTGATGAAAGCGCTGAATTTTGTTGTTTTTGCTTTTTTTATAGTTTTTGTTTTTACTGTGTGTGCTGTATTAGCAATTATGGCTACAGCCCATGTTTGGCAATCTCCACAAAAGCCGTGAGGCTTTCGTGTCGGGTCATTTGAAGAGGGGCCTTTTGACGTTGTGCCTGTCTGGCTGGCCCCCTCCCAGGACGCTGCTCGCCTCCTTCCGCGCTGACCTGTTCCCGTCCCGGCGCCGCCACCAGACCACCTGCTACGTAACGGAGCCGGCGCTGGTGGCGTCCTGCTCGGCCCTGCTGACGGCGGCGCTGCCCGCCTCGCTGGGCTGCGTCGTGGTGGTGCCGGCCCTGCCGCGCGCCGCCAGCGTTGAGTGGCACGTGACGGCGCACGCCCGCAACGCCCAGTTCCAGAGTGAGTGTGAGTCCCGTGCGCTCCCCTTGCCTCGCCTCCCAGCCCAGGGTCCGGGGCATCTTCTCTGGGGCTTGGTTAGTCCTGCTAACGTCCCGTGCGCTCCCCTTGCCTCGCCTCCCAGCCCAGGGTCCGGGGCATCTTCTCTGGGGCTTGGTTAGTCCTGCTAACGGACACGCTGATCACGGTCCTGGCGGCACAGGGAGGCGTTGCAGCAGGGGTGGAAGGCTGGCGCCTCGTAGTGGATGGTGCTACTTCTGAGAAGGCCTCCCTCCCTTCCAAACACGCCCACACTGGGGGTCAGCCTAATTGTCGCCATTTTTCATCCTGTGCTCAACAGTGACACTCAACAGACGTGTATTGTCTCATCACTGACTGCGTCCGGCCGCTGACTCCAGCCTGGTGTCACTGCGTCCGTCCGCGCGTGTCTCGGTGTGCGGTGTGCTGTCCAGCCGGCCGCGGTCCTGACTGTGTGCCGTCGTGTCCAGCTCGGCAGTCGAGCCTCCAGCTGGACGGCACCACGCTCCAGGTGTCCGTGCGCTGGAGCGCCGCCCACCGGCTGGCAGCCACCACCGTGCTGTGCGCCTGCCCGGCCGGCGCGCCCTCGCCCGATCAGCTGGGCGCCTGCCTGCGCGCCACACTGGGCTGTCTGCGCGCCAGGGCTGGCTCGGCCGCCGCCTGCCGCCTGCGCCTCTTCCACCGGTGCGTGAGAGGGGGAGGGGGAGGGGGGGGGGACTGGGACTGTTCCATCGCTGTACGGACTCGATTTGCGGTTGAGGCTCTGATGGGCGGTGGCGCCGTCCCTCTGCATCGCACCAACACGTGTTGCGGCATTTGTGCGCTAGCGGAACCTCGTGCGGGCGATGTGCCGCGTCCAGCCCCCCCCCCCCCCCACTAACCCCACCCCGCCCTCTGTCACTGCTGCAGTGTGGAGGAGGCGGCGGCGGTGGAGCGAGCGTGCCGGCCGTTCCGGCGGCCCGGCTGTGTGGTGGTGCCCGTGCCGGTGCTGGCCGTGGCCGACGGCTCGCACCAGCTGGCCATCACCGGTCTCGCACTGGACGCCGCGCGACCGAAGCGGGACTGAGGCCGGCCGGCACCAGCTCTTGTCCCGTCCAGGGACAGTCTGGCTGCGTGTGACAGGTTCTGGAAGTCATTTATGCCGGCCAGGATCAGAAACCAGGCCCCCAGAAGTGAGGGGCTCCGATGTGTTGTGGCAGTGATGCAGATAATTTGTGTGCTGATGTTATGGTGTGGGTTATCTGTGTAATGTTAGAGTGAACACAGAATGTCACGTGAGGGCTCAGCATGTGCTGAAATCGCCTGTTTCTGTGCCTTGGTCATGAGGTGATCATGCATTTATACGCATCAAAACGGTATATCATTGACGTATACAACGGTAGAAGTGATGAGATCCAGCTACACATTGCCACTGTCGCCCTGTGCCAAGCTCCCTTGCAGGACTTCTGCCGAATAAAAGCGATGATCAAGAATCAATCCCATGTTTATTTATCCAATCGACGCTTACATGTTATAAACTCTCATCAATAATAATTGATACACCGTAAATCACTACATAAAATAATCTCAAACTTCTACGCGTGATCCACTCAAACAGGACTTGTGACTCAAGAGCGCGGTTACTTTCGGTGACAAGCAGGGTCTGGCCAATGGTCGCGCCACGCCCGGTCGCGCCGCGCATGCGCAGTAGCAAGCGCCATGCTGCCATCTATACACACCGACTGCAACTAGCTGCCGTGCTCTGAACCAGCTGGTCACTAAGCTATAACAACACATGGGTAAAACTAGGCACTTAGCGGGATTGTGTGGCCCACGTCGAGCGGGGCCGAGGCGGATGCGCGTGCAGGAAGGTACTCGTCAATTATTGGGCCGTACAACGGCGTATACTGAAACAGTTCCACTAAACGCACACCGGGATGATCGGCGATTACACTTTACTGAACTTGAGGCCTGAAAACACATGGGGAGATTAGTCTGCTGCATACGAGATCGCTGCGATGGTACCGAATGCGATAACCCACCAATATCGATAAGCTGTATGGCCGTAAATGTGGAGCAGAAAAGGTGCTAGCGAAATACCTTGGCGGACATTAGCTGTAAGTAAAAGGTTAGGAAGCAACGAAGCATCAGCTGTCGTCCCATCGCTTCAAACGAAACTGCACATGATCAAGTAACTCAGCGCAACGTGTGAGCAGCCTCGCTACCGGCGGCCACTTCTGGCACCCCGTCCAGCCACTGCCAGAGCGCAGCCCGGCGCACCGGTCCGGGGCTAGCGGGCGGCGGCGGGCGGCCGTGGCATACCTTCGTCGTTGGAGTAGCAGTCGTGACAGTGCAGCTTGTTGTTGCGCACCCGGACGTCAGCGCCCATCGAACCGTTGCCCAGCTGCACGTTACACACGCAGCACTTGAAGCAGTTGATGTGGTAAAACAGCCGCAGACTCTCGATGATCATGGCCGCTCCCCGACCTGACAGGGTACGCTGGGTGTTAGCTCGGGGAGATGGGGTCATCTGATGGGCACGCTCTCACCCAGACCTGACACAGAGCACAGAGGGTGTGACATCGGGGAGATGGGATCAGCTGATGGGCATGTTCTCACCCAGACCTGACACAGAGCACAGAGGGTGTGACCTCGGGGAGATGGGGCCAGCTGACGGGTATTGCGGGTTGGTACTGGGTCGTGGTCGTTCTAAAGGCAGCATAACTGCAGAGCCAAGTGAAAAGACGGCGGGAAAACTTTACGGTGCAATTTTGTAGCACATAACTTGGCACTTCTATTCAAACTGTTCTGAAGCACATTTAAAGGCACTTGGGGATAACAGAAGTACCGCTAGTTTTCATTCTGCTGAGCAAGCGCGCATCGGTTGCACAGATATCACAGACACGGATGGCTCCAATTGAAGTTTAAACGAAAGCTGACTCATATATACGATGGAAAGGAAACGATAATTCCCGATTGATAAATCACTGAGCTGAATCAATAACATATCACTGCGATAAAAGACGCTTGTTCACAAAGCCTTTAGCATCTAATAAGATGGCGACTCAGTTTATCTGGCGCGGCCTGGCTCGCAGCACCGGACGGGCATCTCACCGAGCTCCTCGCCGCAGTGGGAGCACTTTTTCCGGCCGCTGACGCTCAGCACCCGGTCGTCTGGACTCTGGCTGGCCGACGAGGTTGGCTCGGGCCGCCTGGACGCCAACTCCGGACTATGGTACACCTGGGTACCGTAGTTCGGCCTGGAACGGACAGGGGGAGGGTGGCGGCAAAGGCTGCGGTGAGCCCAGGTACCGTGCTTCGACACGTACCGGTCGTGGTGAGGGGTTATCAACAGACTGTAGTTCATCGCGGAGGCACGGTTGGTCTTCGCAGACATAAGACAGAAGTGGTGCTCCACCTGTTGCGACAGTTTGGTCGGACGCTTCGACAGTTCACCCATAACGAGGCGTGCGGCGCCATGGTAAAAACGTCGTTGAAAGAGACAGATCCACACCACACCACCACGAGCCCGATCCAGCCTCTGGCTCTTCGGTCCGCGCTCCCCGAACCAACTCACCGAATGGCGTTGATATCCTGGTAGTTGTTGCTGTTGAGCAGCTGCGCCGGCGTGTTCTCGTAGATGGGCTGCTGCGTGTAATAGGCCGCCGGGTACTGTTGCTGCTGCAGCTGCTGCTGCTGTGGGTGCTGGTCAGCAGGCGGCGGCTGGTACGGGGCCGGCTGCTGGTGCTGCTGCTGCTGGTGCTGCTGGTGCTGCTGCTGGTGCTGGCGCGACGCCCGCTCCTGCTGCTCGCTGATTCGGCGCTGCTCCGCCTCCTGCGGTCACGTGACACACAGACGTCACAGATCGGTCGGGGCTGTCACTGGTCCGGCTCGAACCATGGCTAGGTCACCGCACCCCGCACACGTCAAACAACCTACGTCGTTCGTGGCCCTAACCAGGATCGAGTATGCACGTCCGGACGTCCGTTCATTGAAAACAGACGTGCAAAACATATCCATGCACGCACACACGCACGCACGCGCGCATGCACAAATCTTTTTTTAAATATTGGAAGCAAAAATTGCTGCCGTGGGAAATGCCCACACGAGAACACGTCCAATCCACGCAGCAGTTTTCCAAGCCACAATCTGTAATCCCCACGACTCTGCACTCTCCACGCACAGCCCCAGCGCTGCGAACGCCAGCTCAGCCTCACCTGTATGAGCCAGTGCTGGCCGGTGTTGCGGGGAGCGTCCGCCCGTCGTCTCGGCACCCACTCCTGGCGCAGATTGGGGCGCGGCGCCGCCGACAGCGCGTGCAGTGTGTGACGTGACATCTGGCCGGGCTCGGCCGCCGGCGCCGGGGCCGTCTGCTGCGGCAGCCGGCCGGCCGCCGGCCGCGGCACCCTGGGGCGAGGCGGCGCGTCAGGGCCGGCCGGACGACACCGCACGGCTGGACACGCGGCCCCGCGGCGTGAGGTCGGCCGCCGCGGGCAGACGGCATTCCTCACATGGAAGGAGGGTACTGCTCGGGCGAGACACAGCGCAGAGAAACACGTCCCTTACAGCTTGGTGGGCTGACGATTTGAGAGCAGACGCGGTTGGTCAGTTAACCGTCGCTCGTGATACAGAAGCAACGGTACACATTAAAAGACAAGAGAACACCGACGCGACCGCATAACCGTGAGGAAATCCACAGCCATCTCACAGCGACTGATACGGTACGCTGTAATCCCTGCTACCGGTCACTAATGTCCAGCATTCTGATATAAGCTGCTGTCGCACTGCACATGTCCAGGACCGGAGAGCTGACCGGCGGCGCGGTCCCCGCCCAGCTCACCTGTTCTCGGGCTCGGCCGCTCGCTGCGGCTTGGCCGGCCCATTGTGCGGCGGCTGCGAGCCGTAGCCGTGCGGGTGGCGCGGCGCGCGACCGGCCGCCGGCTCAGGCTCGAACAGCCGGCCGTGGCTGGCGCTCTGCTGGAGCGGCGCCGGCGCCGGCGCCTGCAGGTCGCCGTAGCTGCGCGAGGGTGCCAGCGGCGCCGGCGCCTCCTGCAGCAGGTTGGGATTGGAGCGTGCCTGCTCGCGACTGGTGAACAGGTCGGCCGAGCGTCGCTCGCCCGGCGGACACTCCTGCGTCTGCTGCCACGACTGCTCGGCCGCCTGCATCTTGGCCAGCCGCGACTCTGCGGCAGAGAGGCGCGCACAGTCAAATGAGATGCGGCTGGCGCTGGTCGGCGCCACCCACGGCTGGTGATAGGATGCCCTTTGCATTAACACACGTTCAGACAACAAACAGAAAGAGCTGAACGTTGCAATCTATTTTCCACAAAAATAGTGAATTCAAACGGGAAAGCCCATGGGAAGCAAGCTAACCATAGATTAGATCAAAACGTTGGTGACTTAATGTCATGCTGAGTTTATTGCATAGCGTGTTGAACAGTGTGGTGACTTACGGTATTTAATCTGCTGGTGGTAGCGCCAGCTCTCCTCCTGCTCCAGACTCTCCATGATCTCGCGCTCTTGGCGGTCGACCTCCTCCTCTGACAACTGCTCCTTGCGGCGGCGCCACTCTCGCTCCTGATCCGACAGCTGCTCCTGCGCCCACCTCTCCTGCGATGGCTCAGCCGTCTGCACACTCCTACGCCGCCAATCCTGCTCCTGCTCCTCCTGAGCGCGCCGCTGCTGCTCCAGCAGCTGCTCCCGCGAGCGCCGCTCCTGTTCCAGCAGCTGCTCCTGAGAGCGTCGCTCTTGTTCAAGCAGCTGCTCCTGCGAACGCCGTTCCTGCTCCAATCTCTGCTCCTCCTGCTGCTGCACCTCCAGGGCGCGGCGCTCCTGCTCACGCTGCTCCTGCTCCTGTTGGGCGCGGCGGCGGAACTCCTCGGCACGCGCCTCAGCCTCCTCCTCGGCGCGACGCAGCGACTCGCGGCGCGCCTGCTCGCGGCGCCGGCTCTGCTCGGCCGCCTGACGACGGCGCTCCTGATCCTGCTGCTGGGCGCGCTCTTGGCGCAGCAGCGCCTCCATGTCAGGCGGCCGCGAGACGGCCGGCGTCGGCTCTGGCGGCGACACCGGCGGCAGCGTCACACAACGTACGGCGTGCGCCAAAGCAGCAGAGCAGTCGCGCAGAGCGTGGGACACGACATGCAGCGCCAGACACCGCGGACACACGGTGAGACGAGACACCACCGGACTCTAAGGGGAGCATCAGACACCGCAAACATACGGAGATAAGACACCGCCGGACACTGAGGAGAGCGTCAGACACCGCTGACACACCGAGAGACAAGACACCACAGGACTCAGATGGCAGCGTCAGACAACGCGGATACACGGAGAGGCGAGACACCATAGGACACTGAGGGGAACGCCAGACACCGCAGACACACGGAGCGACAAGACATCACAGGACTCTGAGAGTAGCGCCAGACACCGCAGACACACGAAGCGACAAGACACCACAGGACTCAGAGGAAGCGTCAGACACCCCGGGGCTCGGCACGGGGCACGTTCAAGTGATGGGCATTTTAGTCATGTGGTGACCTGTGTGAGTTAACGAACACGATGGACGGTGACACGGGGAAATGTACTGCGAACGTCAGGTGGTTGACTACCGCACACAGAGAAACCCGTAATTTAACTCAACATAGAAATACCAAAGACGAAGAGCGATGCTACACGAAAATGGAAAAGGTACCAACACAGTCCCTGATAATAAATTCACGAGACATAAGAGACCTTTCACTGATGGTAAATTAAGAACGCACAAAGGGGCTTTCGTTACAGCGTGGTGCCCTCGTAATTCACAGCGCCTTAGTCAGATCATCAAAAACAAATGTAAAATAGCTGGGAAAACTACATCGCCAAGCTCGGCACCGCTTACCATAGTCAGCCTTGCCCTGGATTCCCAGGAAGTCGGACCGCCGCCGGTAGAGGTCCTTCTTCACCGTAGTCGTCGACTTGGCTGGTCGCGCCTCCTGCAGGCAGGCGCACAGTCAGGGGAGTCCCCAGGTCAGGCCAGGGCGGTTTCGCCCAACCCCGACCGCCGGCGCTCTGGCTCGTATGGCTGCAAACGTAGCCACGGGCGTCCGCAGAATTTTGCATTGGGAGAGGGAGGGCGCAAATTAACATGCTTGATTGAAAATGCTTTTTTACGCGTCGCAAGCGCGGGAAAGGGGCGGGGCACGTGCCCTTATTGCTCACTTCAATGTGCCAGTGCCCGCAGGCTTCAGTGACAAGGTCAGTAGACGTGACACCTGGCAAATGCGGTTATAATCGATCTTTCAGTGGCGAAAACATACTGACACAGCCCACTCTGCCAGCCTCTGCACCAGACCGGCCCAGGCCAGGGGGCGTATGCCTTCCTCACCACCACCTGACCCAAATGGTCCTGACCAGCCGCACGGTCACGTGCAGTGAGTCTGCCGGAGCGAACCCGCATGTCAGACAGCTGTTGGGTCACGACAGCTGCCGACCACGCCGACGATCTCAGCTCCATGCCCAGCGGCGGCGAGGCCGGCCGGCCTGACGCACCGGCGTCGGTTCGTCGTCATCAGAGATGGGAGGCGGCGGCGGCGGCTTCTCGCTGGGCGGGGGCGCGGCCGACGGCTGCAGCGGGAAGTCCAGCACGGCGGGCATCTCCCCGGCGGACATCTGCGGCGCGCGACGCGGCATCAGAGCCCGGCCCCCCGCGGGACACGACCAGGCCACCTAGGCCGGCGCAGGCGAGCACGGGCCCGGCGGACAGCACACCACACAGCGGCAACAGACGGGCGCCAAGCCAACAGTCTGGAGCACGTAACCGAGACGGAAAGGGACGAGACCAGCCGCTGACTCCCACTGCCTGCCATCCGCCGCTGGACGCTGGGTCTCCCCAGCTCTGCCCGGCTCTCCCCAGCCAAGAACGATCGCAGGCCCAACTCAGCGCAGGTGACTGGCTCTGCCCCGTCGCGTACCTGCGTTCGCTCGCTCTCCTCCAGCTGACGCAGAATCTGAGCCTCCATCTGGTCGACGGCGTGGCTCGGATCCTCCCAGGAGACGGGAGCCGGCTCCAGGACGGCTGGCTCCGCGGGGATGCTCCTGACCACGGGAGCCGTCACCGGAGCCGGCTCCGCAGGCTTGGAGAAGCTCCCGTCGCCGGCAACAGGCGCCTCCTGAAAGGCGTCGCGGCGCGTGTGAGATGGACGATGCGTGGTCAGCCAGTATTGTGTCCTGACACCGCACACAGACAATCAAAAGAATCATTTGATGGGGGAAGAGAAAAGCTCTAAATTGTTGGGTTCAACATCGGCTGTTAATGCTGCACAGGTCAGTGGAGCTATGCTGGTATCGCAGCCGAAGCAAGAAGTGACCTTTCAAAGGAAAATGCTGTCATTCACGCACAGGCCTGCGAATCACGGAAGTGAACCAAAAATAGAACCCATCGTTACCACACACAGCGAGATCCATATAAAATCATTGAAGACGAATAACATTGTTCCAGACCCACGGAATTGGTTAGATGTGTTATTATCAGCCCATGTTATCTATTTACAAATCAAAATCAGCGACCGGGTGTGACTAATTACGGATACATTAGTCCATGCTTCACTAGCTACACTACGCCACTACGGCACCAATCAGTTCTATTAAGCTTGCTTGATTAGTCAGTCATGTCGCTCGGCCGGTCGTACCAGCCCCGGCAGCGGCCCGCGCGAGACTGGCACCTCCTCTCTCCGTCCAAATACGGTGGCGCCCGCCTGCCCCCCCCCCCCCCCCCGTCCGCGCCACTCCGACGGTGTGGCGCGCCACAGACGGTGCCGCGCCACACCGTCGGCCGCCTCGGCCGTTGACACAATCCGTCAGCACAGTAGCTGCTATCAATCAAGCGCGCCGGCGCGTGCCGCCCGGCCGCGCGGCCGTCGCTGCGCCGGCGGGCTCCCGGGCCGCTGGCGGTCACGGCGTGTGGTCACGCCCCACGGCCCGCCCGGCGCCCCGTGACGCCCCGTGACGCCTGCGGCGCTAGAGGTCACTGGCGCCGACTACAGAGACAGGCCTGCCGTCAACCAGCGCCGAGTGAAGAAGAAACATGTTGGGTGGTTGTTTTGTACTGCCGTGTGGATGGGCGAGGGGGGATTATCAGCAGACGCTGCTAAATACAGCAAGGGAGGCCGGCAGACGTCGCGTAAAAAGTATCTAATCTCGCCAAGCGCCCAACGCCCTTCTCTATCACGACGGCGGGAAAAACGGCACGCGATGACGATCTTCCTGTTGCAGACTCGTAATCGTGCATTTAGCTTCGAACGTGACGCAATGTGGCACCGTGTCCTTCTGGTCGATGTAACTGAGTTGCTACCGAGTTTGAAAGGCTGCTTCTAATGGTTGTTCCGCGGTCACGTAATATGCACGAACGTGACTCGCGATACATTAACAACCATCGTGTAAAGCTACGTGGACGACAGCAATGCATACATGTAGTGAGAGCCCCCACTACCACAAACCAATAGCTGGTCTAGTCAAATGCGTGCACTATGTGTCAGAGCAAAGAAACTTCAGTGCCCTCGGAGCTGAGCGTGTCCCAGCCAACCCTCGCACTTTACTCTGTGGGCAGGTCCGCGCGACGGCGGCCGCTGCGCAGCACGTACCTGGTCAAAGAGCCTGAACAGGCTAGCCGCGTGCACCGGCCGCCGCACTGTGGCCCTCTCCACCACCTCCACCACAGGCTGCCGCCGCGTCCGGTTAGTAGGCGCGTCATGCAGGGGGCGCGGCACGGGGGAGGGCGCGGGGGTCGTCGGCACGCTCGACCTCACCATCGGCACCGGCGGCACGCGCGTCTCGGCGCGTGGCACCGGCTCAGGCACCGGCACCGGCACCGGCACCGGCACCGGCACCGGATCCGGCTCCGGCTCCGGCTCCGGCTCCGGCTCCGGCTCCGGCTCCGATACCGGTTCTGGCTCCGGCGCCAGCACCGGCTCCGGCTCCGGCTGCGGGATGACACTCTGTCCATTGATGAGCGGCGTCAGGCTAGGGGGACGCCGCTCCTCCACAGCGGAGCCGTCAGCCACCCGCCGCTCCACAGTCACGTTAGCGACGCTCGATTCTACACGGCGCGCGCTGGAGCTCTCGAAGCGGCGCGTCGTCGTCTCCAGCGAGCGGCCCTCCACCGTCTCGACAGACCGCCCGCCCGTCTCTCCGACAGCCTCTGTGAACCTCGTCTCGGTGACGTCACTATGACGCCACTGCCTCTGCTCCAAAGGCGCCGGCTCGCTCTGGCGCCGCTCCTGTCGCTCCAGCGAGCTCGGTCCGTTCTGGCGCCGCTCCAGCGAGTTCGGGCCGCTCGGGCGCCGTTCTATCGAGCTCGGGCCGCTCGGGCGTCTCTCCAGTCGCTCCAGCGAGCTCGGCCCGTTCTGACGCCGTTCTATCGAGCTCGGGCCGCTCGGACGCCGCTCCAACCGCTCCAGCGAGCTTGGCCCGTTCTGACGCTGCTCCAGCGAGCTCGGGCCGCTCGGGCGCCGCTCCGGGCCGCGTTGCTCGTCCGTTGCCAACTGCTCGAAGCGCGAGCGCAAGTCAGAGGCACTCTTCTGGCGCGGGATGTCGACAGCAGCCGGCCGGTCGGCCGTCGCCTCGCGGCTGCTCTCCAGGCCGGAGAACATGGCCAGCTTCTGGCGGAACTGGTCGGCGCGCGCCGGCGGCCGCCAGTGCACCTCGTCGCTGCCGGCGCCGCTCACCGTCTCCAGCGAGGCGATCCGGTGGCGCAGGCCGTCGCTCAGGTCGGTCGACTTGCGGTGCAGCCGGCGCTGCGCGGCCGACGTGCGCTCCTCGCTCTCGCTGCGCTGCTCGAACATCGAGCGTCGCTTGTGCACGTCCACCTTGGCCTTCTTGTCGCGCAGCACCACAGACGGCCGGCCAGTCTTGGCCGGGGCCGGGACTGGAGCTGGAGCTGGGGCTGGGGTTGGAGCTGGGGCTGGAGCTGGAGCTGCCGGAGCCGGGGCTGGGGCCGGGGTCGTCGCTGCCGGTGCCGGCCGCCGCCGCTCCTCCGGCGTGACGGGCAGCGGACTGGGCTCGCGTCGCGGTGGCGCGGGCTCGGCCGGCACGGACACCGGCGCCGAGCCGCTCTCGGCCGGCGCCAGGCGCGTCTTCTCGGCGAACTTCATGTAGCCCTGGATGGCACTGTCGTAGGTGAACTCCTCGGTGCCGCTGTCGTGGCCGTTAGCCTCGGCCGTCGTGGGCGAGGCCGCGCATTTGTCGGGCGGCTCCTGCGGCGGAACGAGCCGGGGTCAGGGCAAAAATCGCGCGCCGGCCGCCAAAAACCAGTGAGGTTAGCAGCCGGCAGGGCCGCAAAATACGCCGTGCGTCAAAAATAGAAACACAGAGGGGTAGTATGAGAAAGAAATACACAAAGAAGACAAACAAGTTAGAAGTGCACAATCACGCTCAAGGTTACCGAACACTGCCCTCCGATGTCCACGTGCTGCTCCAGCGCCGCCACGCGCTCTTACCCACTCACCCTCGCACACACACAGACCCACAGAGAGGAGGCAAGCGCGACCGGAGCGGCGGCGGACTGGCCGGCTGTCGGCCTCCACTGCGCAGCGGCGTGGCTCTGGCCGCACCAGCGCACAAAAAGCGCGCGCCGGCCGCGCCGGTCGACAGCGCCACCGCCGGTCTGTCCACCTGTTCACCTGTCGGCCCGTCAGGCGAGCAGGCAGCGCCGCGGCGGCCGGCAGAGCGCGCGGCGCACAGCTCGAGACACACGCCGCTTTGGTGGAGCTGGGTGTGTCAGTGTAAGATGGCGCGCGTGGCTGAGACGCCCGAGCACGTGCTGAAGAGCGAGACGGATGCAGATTGGCACCCTCTTAATGATTAGAACACGAGCCGACACAGTTACTCCGCTCGTTACTTGTGTCGGTGCACAGTGTAGAGCCGTTATCGGGTTTGACGAACTAGGTTAACCTGATAAATTCCGTGGCACCCCCCGCACAACATCCAAAAGTCGTTTGACCAGCTCAGTCAAAGCTTCTCAGTCACAAATGGCCACAGACGACGCCTCCGACTGTCCGATATGCCCGCATGAGTAAACAGTGCACGAGGCACCAGCTGACATTCTGCATGGGCGGAGCGACAAAGATCAAGCTCGGTCCAAACATGGCGTCTGTCGATTGCCCAGCATAACTCCTGCTACCTCGGATGATGTATGACCCACCGAAAGTGGTCAGTTGGCACAGACTGACACGGGACAGCAGTTGCAGCCTACTGACATGGATACTGATACCCAGTCCTGGTGATCTGCAGCCCAAAAATGATGCCCAACAGCAATCTGCCGTAAATTACGTGTGCTAAGTGCAGGCGGCAGTGGAGCGCATTGGAACGCCGCCGAGGTCAGGACCAGAAAGCGTATCATTGTCAGCAATAAAAAACCTCCGTCTGTTTATAAATTGGCAACTGGTTCGAGTTTCCGATGGAAGCACCTGCACAATGTGGGTCACGGGGGTTATCTTAGGCAGCGAGCCGCGCGCCCGTGTACTCTCTGTCTCCCTGCTGTGCCGAGAACTGCCCTGCAGTCGTTGTCTTTGTCCGCCCGTTGACAGACTAAGCAAAACAAAGTCGTTGGCGCCGCGCTTCGTTGCGACCGTGCGTTAGTCCTCGGGAACAGGGACGTGTCACCACGCTCTGCAACGAGTGACGTTGGACGTGTCACCACGCTCTGCAACGAGTGACGTTGCGGGACAAAGCTTTCGTTAACCCAAACACACCTAAAGCGTAGCAAACAAACGCAGCATGCCAACGGGACCTGCATCCTACGTCGAAGATAACCTGGCGGCCTGGACGCCCCGGGGCCCGGGCTGGATGATAGTGGGCCGGCGCGTCAGCCCATGGCCAGCGAGGCGTCACCACGAGCGCCGCCGCTCGAGGGTAACGAACCACCGGCGGCGGCGCGCTGCGACGTGCCAAGCGCATCAACAACCTACCCAAACGTGGCCTGTGCTGGCCCAACATGCAGCACCTAGCATTAGTGCTGTAATTTGGGTGAGTGTTCAGAGGTTTGTTGGTGGAACGAAATCCAGCTCTACCTGGTCCGGACAGGAAGAGCTGGGTTTCGAGCTGGAACTGGAGTCCCTGACGACTTCGGAAGAACTCAAGCCCAACGAAGAAGGGAACCCAGTCCGCCCCCCTCTGAACACCATGTCCTAACCGTTCAAGGCTCCAGTCACCTAAACAGGACGCCGAGCCCCCCTCCCCTCCCGGCAGCGGCGGCTCCAACGCGCTCCTGGCCTGCCATTTCCCGGCCGGTGGGGGTCCCGCCGCGCCCGGCTGGATCTGATTTCGCCGCCCGCGCGCTGCGCTGTGGCCTTCGACGGTGGCTGGTCCGAGCGGACCCATCGATGCATTTCTAATATTTGGCCCGGTGCGCGGCTACAGCGGAGCCCGGCCTGGCCGGGCGGAGCGGCCGTGGGCGGCGCTCCGGGGCTCCGGCCAAATGACACCTCCCGGCCGCCCGTCCTCCCCAGCCGGCGGGGATCGCCCGCCCACTGCGGCTCGTTCTGCCGGTGGAGAGTCACGCGACGTGATAGGCTCGCAGGCGACACCGGTTGGTCGGCCTGGGCGGGTGAGCGCGCGCACTGATACGACCAGTTATTAGGGGGATAACACAGATCGAATCAGACAGGCGATCATGTTTCCAGAACTGAGGAGCAGCGCTCAGCAATCCCAATGGACGCCATTGCCGCTTGGCTTGACTGCCGTGCGGAGGCGCCGGGGGCGACTCCACACCGGCGAATCGGGCACTGGGTCAGGCTGAAAGTCACGGCCTCGGCACGGAAGAATGACGGAGACGTGGCGGCGGTTACCCGACTTTACCTACTTCAGAGACAAAGGCTTTTGTTTCGACACGGCTCACACAAAAATACCGCGGCCAATGGCTACGCTCGCGACGCGGCAGGCGGCCGGTTACCGCAAGAGAGCGCCGGGTTCAGCGCTTCCGCACGCACAGGCAGGTCACGTGCCCGGACACACACGCACGCCGCGCAGTCGAGTCCTAGCGCGGTTCGGCCGGCCGACCGGCCCGCGTCGCTCCGAGCGACGGGTCCAAAAGCACGTGACTGACTGTACGGTCCGCCGCGGCGGCGCCCGCCAACCGGTCCCCGTGCAGCGTACGTGCGGGACAGGATTTAAATGCCGGTCACAAGGCGGGCCCGGCAGCAGCTGATAGGGGTGTCGCCTGCCACCCGACACGCACGCCATCTGTCGCCTGATGGCACGCTCGATGCGACCGACATCTAGGAGGAGAATCGGGAACCACGCTGTCGTCAGCCAGGCGCTGGACCGTCACGCGATCCGGCAGGCCCTGACTGGTGTCTATCGATTACATCTGTCCTGTGAGCGAGACACCACCTCCGGCAGCATGACGTGATGCACCTTGCCGGGGGGTAAGGGGGGATCTCTGCACCTGGTCATACTAAATCCGCCGACAGCGGCTGATATTGGCAGTCGCCGGCATCGATCAATAAACATAACGCAGTTTTAAAATGACGCGGAGCGCATGGAATCATGGGCCATATCAGAATAGGAGCACTGACTTAATGCAGAGTAACGGAAGTACTTAACGATGTCACGCTTCAAAAGCTGACAATTTTCACACACTTCTAGCCTAATATTGCCAGGCAAAGCTGCTTTTAGCGTGACTTTCACTTCACCGCCGGGGAGCCCGGGCGTCTGGTATTGTGTCATCAATGGCTGGAGGCGTCCACCGCATCGCCGTCAGTTCAGTCGATAAAAGGAATGTCTCACGCCTTGTCCCACTCGCGCGCACGCGGTTGTGTCATAGCTGTACTTTCCTTTGACGATTTCGTTCTCGTTGTTCCCATATCAATCACAATTAATATCACATCAAAACATGCGCCAACGTCTTTATCAAAGCATGGCACTTCCATTCATGCCATTGTTTCTCGCATATAGCCAGCAATAATCAAGGCAGAATTGGTGTCGTCCTGTAAGTCCATCAAAGAGAAGGCAGCAACCTAAAGAAGCTTCAGTGCTCGCAATCGCTGGCGCAATAAAAGTCCGGCCAGTTCTCCGAAACGCCTCTTCGGACTGCAATTTCTTACCACATTCAGCAGGGAGCACCTGGTTGCGCGAGTTCTCCCGCACAATCGAACGTTACAAAGACCACTTCTACCCTCAGTGGGGCCCTGACCTTACTATCATTGATATGTGACGAGCTTTACCACCCGCGCCTTCACTCTCCTCCGGTAACCGGTAACCGGCAACCACGGCGTCGTTGGTTATGTGAGCCTAGGCGCGCGTCATTTGAGACTGATTACGGAAACTGTGACTGTGAAAAAAGTCTGATACACACACCTGACTCTCATGCGCCCCAAAATGCCGATATACCATGACACGCGCCGCCATACGGGACGTGTTATCAGTTATGTGCGATCAGTGACGTGCGTTACTTTTGGGTTAGCTACTTACCCCGAACATCATCGAGGCCAGGGACCCACCTGGTGACGTCGGTGTGGCCCTTTGGTGACGTGACCTCTGTCTTGAATGTTTCAAATATTTTGTGACCTCCGGTCCGAGTGAGTGACCCGGACAGTGATCTCTGATCCGAGTGCGTGACCTACCTGGTTGTCGCTTGGCTCGCTGCCCGTATCGGAGCTGGTGGCGAAGCCCAGGTCAGACTTCGTGTCGCTGGAAGCCGGCGACTTAGCCGTCAGTAGGCCGCTGATGTCGTTGTCGTCGTCGGTAAACACCTGAAGCATGCGGCGGCCCTTCCTGCGGGACGGACCGGGCGCCGCGTCAGCGCCATCGCTGCTACCTGGGTGGGCGCCGAATCAGCGCCAGCAAACGTCCTCGTTGCAGAAGTGTGAAAAATGCGCAAGAGGCTTGCAACTTCGGTCTGAGGAGCTTTGAAGAAGCGGCAAGGCTGCGACTAGGAATGTATTCGTCCTTCCCCACTCACCCAGGTCCGGATCTGCATGTAAGGAATTCAAAGCAGCCTGGATGTTGGATACACTCTCCGCAAATATATTTGTATCCGCGGCAGGCTGCGAGGAACCAGTGCTATCCCGAACGGAAACGCTGGGATATTTCTATTTCTATCTCTCCGCTGTTTTTATCGGTGCGTTGCCACCCAGGTCAGCAGGAGTGCCATCCTTCTGAGCCGAGAAGCCGCGTTGTTTGGGACGTGGGTGATGAGCTCGCTGGGGCCGCTTTTTCCTCCAGCTCGCTTTGAGCTTATGGCAGATTCAAGCGGCCAATGCCCAGCAAACGTAAGCACAGCACCCGGAACTTGGTTGAAAATCTGACTGAGCTAGCACTGCGTCTACAGTCAACAACTTCACACACATGAGCCCTGCACCGGTGAACGTTGCTTTGCCATGCTCAGCACGTTGCCTGCGCCTCACGAAACAACCCTCCAAGCCAGCCGCCGCGCCGTGCCGGGGGCGACCAGTCCAGCCGCGACTCCGGCTTAACCGGCGCACGGGCGGCCACCCGCTTACCCGCTGCGGTCCTGCATCATCTCGCCGAAGGTCTTGGCACGGCGGCGCGAACGGTCGTGGTCAATCTCCTCCATCTTCTTCACCTCCGTCAGCCGCTCGATCACGTCCTCCTGTCGCTTCCTTCGCGACGACTTCCAGTTGTCCAGGTTCTGCCGGCGCGGCGGACGCATGTCAGTTCCAGTGGGTCAGGTCAGGTCAGGTCAGGTCAGCCCGCCGCAGTCGGGTTTCGATTGTTGGGGACAACAGCAGACAGCCAGGGTGGGTGGCTAGGTGGGAGGCAGAGGTTTTAGCCTGATTTCTAGCACCTGACGCTCTGGGCTGGAGGAGGCAGCCGCGGCTAACCGTGCGGCTAATTGTGCGGCTAATTGTGCGGCTTACCATGGGGAAAGAGAGCACGCGGTCAAATGCCCAGCGTGTGGACATCACTGGACGAGGTTGGTTGGTCGAGCGTTTTTTGAAGATCACATGAGGGTTAAAGAAGGCCTGTCAAACTGCACGTTGCTCTGCTGCGAGCTGACCGTGTCATGTGATGAAGTGCTGACGTGTCACATAAATGCCATCGTAAATCGTGAACTTGGTTCCTCTGACAACATAATTCGGTCGGAATAGTAATTAAGTGAGGCGTACTGGCTGGAATCGCTAATGAGGCGACTAAAACAAGCATGCGACTCACAACATACGCTGCTAATATATACAGTACAATGCTGATCTCTATGAATGCAGCATGACCAAACCGTTACCATGTAAAAATATCCTAAAACGTTTGGCTTTTCTAGGGACTATCTGGGGGCTCTTAGGTCAGTGAATTTTCTGAGCCTAAGTTGAAATCAACTACACGCACTGGGAGCAAGTGCCGGTCTCTTAAGCAACCCTTCTTCGGGCCAGACAAACCTGACAATGGAGCACTGGCAGCTCCAGCAGTTCCGTCACAAGACAAAGGCCCCACGGGGCTTTGATGTGAGAAAGTCGGCAGTTAAACACAAAGTGCTCCCCGTTTTCACGCACCAGAGAGAACAATGGCTCAGACTGGTCCAGCCGCGTCGCTGTCTCAGTGGAGGAGCAGCGCAGGACCACCAAGCTGATAACCTCAGCCTACCTGGGCCGTGTTATACGACGCAAGCCACAACTTCACCATGCCAATCGGACATCCAACTATGGAGCGGCCGGTCCCACGCCCACAACACACCACAAAGTCCCACAGCATCAGTCTCGCCTCACCGCCAGTGGTGTCCGCGCGTGGAGACACGGTCACCAGAGAGCGTACATAGACACCAGCCACTCCACACCGGCGGTTGGATTCACCAGAAAGGTCGTCCCAGCGCCAGGGTTCCACCGCCTGGTCACCCGCGGTAACTCACCTGATCATCGCTCACCTGACCACCTCTCTGAAGGCGGCACCAGCGGTATAGCGCTTTGTAAAACAAAAACTTTTTGTAATCATCCTGCAGCAGCTCGTCGCGCGTCGTCTCCATGCAGCCCGCTCCAGAGCCGTCAAAGGAGGGGGGGGGGGGGGGGGGGCAGCACCTTGCAAGGACGCGAAGCGTCAGAACGGACTGCAAGCGTCAAAACTGTCGGGAAACACCGATATAATTCCTCGACGCCGACGGGCACCACGTTCCCGGAGCTGCCACCGCCACACAGTCCCCGGCGGCTCGGCTACCGGGGAGACTGTCCGAAACGCCACGACACTTGCTCTTCACTAATGCTCGACGAAATGAGAACCCATCCAGGAATCACTGCGCCAAGAACTCTTTGCTGACGGCTCGACGCGACGAGGAGTCGCTCTTTAAAACACTGCAGCGCAGCTCTTCACGGACAGCTTGTGATGACGAGACTGGCGGCGTCCGACGTTCAGCCACACGTCGTGCGGGAGACGTCACCGATGCCGCCTGTCGTGCTGGCGTCCGTGAAGCGGCTCTGAGCGCGGTCACGACGGCGGCGCCTCTGGCCGCGCCGGGTGCCGGGGGCGGTGCCGGGGTCGGCGCCGCGTCAGCTCGAATGACGGCCGCCGGAGCGGGCGACACCCAGCCCGCTTCCTGCCGCCGGCGCGTCCCGCTGGCGGCGTCGGAGGGCGGGGTGCCGGGCAGCGGCGTCACGGCACAACGCACCGGCGGGGCGCGATGATCACGGCAGACCCGGGCGCGAGCACGCCAGGTCACGGCAGCGGATCTCACCGCATCACGTGGGATCTCATGACGGGGTAGCGGTGGGAGCGTGTGGGATCAAATGCCGTGCTGATCCCAGGGCCACGGCTCAGTGGGCAACAGGTCACATCAAATCACCGAACGGAGCGGGACCAGAAGCAGGCGCGGCGGCCGAACGACGCACAGCGTCGGGGGCGGACAGGCGCCGGCGCTGGCCGCTCAGCAGCACTGAACAGAGACTCGCGACGCCCCGCCGCAGCGTCGACACACGCCACCGTCGCCACGAGGAGCCGTCGCCTCGGGGAGAGCGCCGCCGCCGCCGCCGCCGCCGCCCGAATCGGAACGGAACGGAGCGGAGCGGAGCCCCAAGCGGCGGCACTAACCGCCGGCCGCGGCCCGGCGCTGTGACCCGCTCTCCGAGCTCGGGCTGTGCCTCACGACACGTCACGCACGTTACGGTGCGCCGCGACACGGCCGCTGCACCGCTGCCGCGCGCTGCAGGCCCGCTGAATCGGCGTCTCCAGTTCCAGCAGAGGCGTGGAAGGAGGTGCAGTCGATGTGAAATACAGCTCGGCAGTTATTCTGACAGAAGCGTTGCACAAACACGATAAATCTGATGCAAACCACGCGCCGTGCTGTTCCTTTTGTTATTTCGTGCTTGAAGTGAAACTGACGGATGACATCACTGTGAAATGGCTTGTTGTGACACGAAATCATATGACTGCGCCCAGGAGGGGCATCATTCATATATCAACCCAATTTGTTACGTGCTGACCTGTTTCCAGGGTGCTCCCATCGTATCAGTGGCTACTCGTCCGCCATGATAAGGCCGCAAGCAATACATGTGTTGCTAACGAAATGTGAGATTTCCTAAACGGATTGCAAACCCAACATTTCGTCATGAAGTAAGTTACTCAGGTTGCAGCACACGGACTGTTCGCGCGTGCCCAAAGTACGTTGCCAGCATTCGTTCAACACTTCGTTCTGCCACATAGCGGTCGAGCTCCGACCTCAAACGGTGCCTCTTGCTACCTTGCACACCCTGCAGCGATATAGTCAGTAACACAGCGACAGCTCTGCAGGCGAAGGAGTTAGCAGCAGTGTGCCGACACTACCCCTGTCCTGCCCCGGGCCGGAGCTCGTCCTGTCCCAGGCCGGAGTTCATCCTGGCGAGAGCCGGAGCTCGTTCTGTCCCAGGCCGGAACTCGCCCTGGAGCCGGAACTCGTCCTGTCTGGAACCGGAATTCGTCCTGGCGGGAGCCGGAACACGTCCTGTCCCAGGCCGGAACTCATCCAGTGCCGGATCGGAGCTCGTCCTCTCCCGGGCCTGCAGCCGTGCAGGGGATGGGGGGGGGGGAGGGGGGGGGGGGAGGGGGGGGGGGGGCGGTGCTGCCGTGCCGAGTCTGGCGTGCCACTGGATCAGACCGCACGCTTTAGCCGGGCCGGTGGCGACGGCGGCGGAGAAAAAACACGGCCCGGCGCCGCTTTCCACGCCGCGCGGCGTGAGAACGCTGACCGGGCCGGGTCAGCCGTGTCGAGATGGGATCGGCGCGCCCTACTTCCGGCCGCCGGCCGCGCCCCTCAGGACCGGATCTCAACGCGGCGCCGGCTGACGGAGCCAGCCGCCAGCGTGCGCGTCTTCAGGCCGGCCCAAAAACCGGACCCGACCCACCAGACCGGCCGAAAAACCCGGCACGGGCCTACAGACCGACCAACAACAAACCATGTACGGACACGAGACCAGCCCACAAACCGGACACGGGCCTCCGGACCGATCGACAAACCGTGTATGCCCCCCTCCCCCTCCCCCCCGACCGGCTGACAAACTTTTGGTCGGAACATTCAGCACTATCAGACCTGAGTATCGCCCTTCGCTGCAGACCGGCTGACCGGCCAAGCAGCTTCAGGTCGAGACGACCAGCAGACCAGCCAGCGCGATGCCAGTCCCAGTCAGCCTTCGATCGGGCATGGCTGGGCGTGCTGGGCCGATGAGAGCTCGTGAGAGTCTTATCGCGATGAAGGATGCGGCCAGCATGATGTAACCGAAGAGCATGTCCGCAACATATCTTACATCTGACCATCTCTGGCTGTTCGCTGCGCACGGTAATGCACAAGACAACTGGGCATCCCGAGAGCGTCAGCGCCTTGCGTGTCTGCCCAGTCCTCTCACAGCGGCCGCCCTTGTCCCCAGAAACGGCCAGCTGGAACCCCTCCGTTACTCACGTTCTGCCACGCGGCGCTCTCCTCCTCCTTAACGGCCGGCTTGGCCGCCATGCGCAGCTTCTCGGCCTTCAGCATCTGCTCGGAGGCGGTGCGTAGCAGCGGCGTCGGCCCAGCCGCCACAAACTTCATCGGGTTGGCCGCCGGCTTTGGGCCCACGCTCACGCGCCGTGTCGGGATGTTCTCAGTCGAATCAGCTGACACCTGGAAGCACGGTCACGCTGTCACGCTGTCACACTGTCACGCGGTCGCGGTTCCGCCGGCGTCCCACGCGCGCCGTCCGATCTCGGCCGTCTCGCCAGCCAGGTACGATCAGTCTGGCCGGCCCCACCGCTCAGGGTCGGGGCGCCTCTTCCACTGACGGCCGCGCGCCGCCTCCGAGGCGGCCGTGCAGGCGCGCCGCGCCGCCGGCACTCAAGGACAGTGGCTACGTCACCTACCGGCAGGGCGAGTCCGCCCGACTCAGCGCCAGAGTCCCCCCCCCCCCGAATCCGCCGCCCGAGTTCGCCCGACTCGAGCAGTGCGAGTCCGCCCGAGTCCGCCCGACTCAGCCGCTGCCGGGGCGAAACGCTCGCCGCTCGCGCTCCCCCGGCGCGGCGTACGGAGCGGGATCGGCGACACTCTGTTCGGCAGGCCCTGACGGAGCCACGGCCGAACAGGGGCCGGGCACGGCGGCGAGTACGGCGCACCGGTCCGGCCCGGACCGACCGCGTCGGACCAGGACCCGGGCGCGGCGCACCAGGCTGGCAAGGACCAGCCGCACCGGGCCTTCGGGCGGCGGCCGGGGTCGCTGCGACGGGCGAGGTGACGCGGCTCCGCCCGGCGCTCTCCTGCCGGACGGCGCCGGTGACCCGGGTCAGCCGGCCGCCGCCGGGTGCAGCTCGGCGGCGGGAAGGAGGTCGGGAGGCGTTCAGCATGCAGCCTGCTGTGGGCACTCAGTATGCACGGAATGCTGGCCCGGCCGCCCGACCCCGGTACGTGATAATTCCGGTGCTCGGCCGGGCGAGCCGCACGGACCGGCCGAATGGAGGCAGGGAGGGACGACGAGGCTGACAGACACCGTTGGTCCACGACGTCTCCATGACAACCGACGCGTGATGGACTAAAGGTTCCCAAACGTCGCAGTTTAGCGCATGTCTACTTCAAGCTCGGCTCTTTGCAATGTAGTTCGCCTTCGAGCCGCGATGTTTGATAGAATATTTCTCGTGTAAGGTTCATCTGGTGGAGCGGACGCGTAATCACATACACCAAATCCGTAAACTTTTCATAGCATATCAATTACACTAGGTTTTAACACCGGGTTCAACTAACTTATATACATGTGCAGCCGCTGGCAACGACTGTCAGCTAACTGACATCATTCATATAACATGCTGGGCTTTGTGATACATGACTTAACACGCGCTTGAGTGGGGGGGGGGGGCAAATTGACCCCCTCGAAGGTTTTTCCAAATGGCTTCCGAACGGCGCGGCGTAGCTGTGCCAAATTTTGCACAGCTGTAGACAACTGAATGGCGGATCGTTTCACATGCAAAATTAGATGTACCTTGTAATGTCGCTGACCTAGGGCAGGTCAAAGTCAGGCCATCGTTTCAGCGAAGGCAATTTCTAGGGAATCGTCCAATCTGATACAAGAACGGAGTGTTTGACGAAGCCATGCATCTCTGATATGACATGCTCCTTCGGCACTACCAATATTTAATAAGCAAATTAAGTTAGCCTAAGGTCAGGTATGAAGGCCATACCAAGGTACAACCAACCTGATTTATTTCTCTAGGGCTTGCTGTACGGGATAGTTTGTGGTGCTCATTTCGAATTTATTGATAGCAGGAACCGAATTATACATCTTCCATGAAATTCTTAGAGGTCAGAAAAGCTCATTGACCTTAGCTGACCCGGGTCGACATTTTGTTTTGTGAGCAAACTGCCTAGCGCAATCTTTGTCGCGTATTCAAATGCAAAACTCAGAGCGGTCTTGCATGATTTTGGTCACCATGACCTTCAAAAGGTCAAACAAGGTCACTTACCTTAAATGGGTTTTTGACCTTTTGCTTAGAAACAGTTTCCTAGGTTCTGGGGGCACTTTCGTGACCAACCTAGAATTTGACCTTTTTTGACCTTATTGGACCTGAAGAACATGACCTAGGAAACTCAAGCTTTGACCTAAGTGACTTCACATGCAGGTCAAGACACCCTGCATATTTGGTGTCTCTAGCTCTCTTAGCTCCCGAGACCTCGGGGGGGGGGGGTCAAATTACCCCCCCCCCCCACCCAAGCGAAAGGTACCTAGCCGGCCGGAAGAAAGGTGGCATCACCCTGATCCTGGCCCTGACGGAGGGTGCAACATCCTGACCCTGGCCCTGACGGAGGGTGCAGCATCCTTATCTCGGCCCTGACGGAGGGTGCAGCGTCCTGACCCTGGCCCTGACGGAGGGTGCAGCATCCTTATCCCGGCCCTGATGGAGGGTGCAGCATCCTTATCCCGGCCCTGATGGAGGGTGCAGCATCCTTATCTCGGCCCTGACGGAGTGTGCAGCACCCTGACCCGGTCCCGGCGGAGGGCGCAGCACCCTGACCCGGTCCCGGCGGAGGGCGCAGCACCCTACCCGTAGCTCTAGCGGAGGGCCCAGCTGACCGGCGGTGCAGCACGAAGCTGAGACGGCCGAGACGACTCGTGCCAGGAGCAGGTGCGCCCGCAGTCTGCAGAGATCGCGACCAGGCACGGCGGTCGCGTGTGAACCCAGAGGCCTTCGCTTACACCACCGGAAGGCTGGGCGAAGGGGCCACTGCAGGGGAATTATCGCGAGAGAGAACGTAGTGGCCATGAGTGCACGGCTTCCTGATGATTGGACGGCTCGGTGTGAACCACCATGACCCAGTGAGAAGTGGGTGAATAGGAATCGTCGCTTTACATGTCAAGGTGACACATGGAAAAGTTTCCGCGGGGATAACACGGTATCGTTTAGACGAAATTTGATCGATTGTTGGCAGAAGTAGCTTTGGGATCCGAGCTATAAATACCTCTGGTTTGTTGCAAAGATGCCATCCAAGTAAAGCAATTCCAACCCAACATTCAATCTTCCCTGGCAGAGCTTAATGCACCGTGGTACAGCCGTCTCGTGCCAGTCTGTCTCCCAACGCCGTTAGCTGACCGTGGCTGGCAGGTCGAGTACGCGCGCTTTTATTGGGCGCGAACCCGCACATCCCGCACACCAAGGTCATATTTCCCGCGCTCGTACGGCTGGGCTATGGGAAAGTCAGCTGAAGGGGACCACGCAGGGGGATGGGTCCGGATGAAGTAAGCGAGCTCCAGCCTTTCGCGGTGGCGCGGTACTGAACGTCGAAATGCTTCTTGGTCATGCCAAGAATTTATCGCGTCCTAGCGAGGTAGCAGGCTGTTGACACAACACTTCCGTTTGCCTTCCCTCCGCGTGTGGTTTGGCGGTACTTGGGCGTACAGTGTCTTTGACGACACATTGTACTGGATATGACTAGACGTATTACGTGTATGCTCTCAGCGTGTACTGCGCATCAGTAAGCTACCAAACAGTCCAACGAACCACACACGATTTCAGCTATGCCATTTGGAAAGACAACTGAACAACGTTGACGAAAGGCAACAATCATGATTCCGGCAATTACGGCGTGCGCAATTGTAGCGCAGTGAAAGAGGTAGGGTACGTAAGTGTGGGCATTTAGAGTCGCATGGCCTTCGCTTGTTCAAAACACGGTAAGTGCCACAGCCTTGAGACAATTGCGACAATCTGGTGTGATTGCTGCGCAGATACCGCTGAATTTGCTCTTACGTTAAATACACATTAGAGAATGGTTAAACCAAGACCCTCCCCCACCACGAGCTCACCAGTCCGTGAACTTGGAACAAGGACCACTGAGGTATGGTGTCTGTGTGTTGACACCCTTACAGTCCTCCACGACCGGTTTCTCGGCCGAGCACACATTTTTAGCTAAACCGTAGGGAAACCAAACGCAGACGCGAAGGTTTACCCGGACAAACAAGTGACAGCGACTCGCAAGGAATGCTAGCAGCTACTTTGTGTTCATAGATTGTGAGGGAAAACTATAGAACTGACGTCGAAGGTCATCGTAAGAAGATTTTTAAAAAGCGCATGCAGTCCGACGCTAGAGGACAAGAGAATCGGAGACTTTGACAGCCATAGAAGTCAGCCGTGCCTCCCTCCGAGCCAGGTTCGCGATTTTCCCCACCATGACGACAAATAGCGTGACATGCATGATATACATGACAAACAGCATGACATGCATGACGTATAAGGCAAGCAGCCGGGTGTACACAGCCGGGTCCCACAGCGCCACAAGCAGCATGCGCCATTCGCTCCGGAAGCTCTACGGTCAGCGTAGCTCCGCCACCACCAACCATGCACGAGATACCATGCCCAGACGACACGGACAACACGGCAAAAGCTCGCGGATACGGGTACCACGCGAGCGCTCGCCCAGTCGCGGATGGCGCGAGCGACAACAGGAGTCAGCATCACCCGACAGCAACAGGGGCCGCCAAACGACTTTGGAGACAGCGACACCCGACAACTACAGGAGCCAGCGCCGCCCAACGGCTGTGTAGACAGCGACATCCAACAACTACAGGAGACAACGGCACCCGACAGGCGACGGTAGTGTTCGGGCGACCGCAGACAGAGCAGCCCCGGGGTGACTACGGACCACAGCGGTAACCGGAGGACTGGGGGCAACACAGCCCTCCCGCCCTTACCGGTACCTGTTTTTTGACGCCACCCGCCGAGCGAAGCCTCTGGAATATAGAGCGTCACCGTCACCGGGAGACCCGCCGTCACCCGCGCGCCGTCAGCGGTCGCCAGGCAGCAGCGATGTCACATGCACATCCAGTGTGAGCAGGCTGCGGAGCGAGCCGCTCAGCGCGCCGTCGAGGCCGCTCACGGTTCGTGCGCCATCACATCGTTACAGGCAGCCGCCACCGACCGGTGAGATTCAGGCAGTTCATCGTGCCTTCGCAGATGCATCGTCATTGTGGTGCGCATACCTCAGTGGCGCAAGGACATTGCAAAAGTGGCGACTATCAAATAATCAAGAAGACAGGTTAACCTGAAACAAGTATGGACATTGATTTTTAGAACGTCTGGGAGCCCGAGGATCACATTTTTTGCAGGATCACATTTTTTGCAAGGCTTTTATAGCCGCTCAAACCCTATACAATTCGCGAGGTAATTTCACAAGCGTACAAGGCAGAGCGCAGCTAGAACAGTAAATGTTGACGTCCTAAGGCTGCAGCTAAGGCCATCAGCGAGGTAAATATTTTCACTCTCAATCACCATCGACACGCAAGCCAGAGGCGCGCCCAGCCAACGGGATCGACCACATAAATACCTGGGCGGTTGCCGATCGGCGATTTTTGACGAGCGCATGCCCGCCTCTCATAGGCTGAGGCCTTGCGTGCCCTTTATCTCAAGTAGCGGCAATCGGCAGGGAGGGCGTGGCCCCAGCCCGCGCAGCACCCCGGGTGGCCCAACCGGCGACCTCCGACAGGTCTCACGGTGACCTCCGACAGGTCACTGGGGTGGATGCCGATGAGCGTCTCCACCCCGCCCCTCCACGGACAGTATCGGGTGACTTTTGCTTCGTTTTGGGAAACGTGCCGTGCCAACTGTACAGGACAATTTGGACGAAACAAACAGCTATGATAAGTATTTGGCTTGCCGAGGGTAGGCTGGAGGAAGTCACCATTGCATTAAACATAGAGCAGAAATCAGAGGCGGTGTCGCAGCTAGCACTTCACTCGCATCAATGGGCAGTGCAGAAACAAAGCTCTTGTTAATACGTGGTTACCGTTAGTCAGCACGTTTGCTCAGCCCTCGCTGCTTTCCGTACAGTATGAGGAGAGAGTGCGGTAAGGCCACTTGCTGGTCCACACCGGATGTGCTAGGGCACCAGCTCGGAAGCTAGAGGAGAGAGTGCGGTAAGGCCGCCTGCTGGTCCACACCGGATGTGCTAGGGCACCAGCTCGGAAGCTAGAGGAGAGAGTGCAGTAAGGCCGCTTGCTGGTCCACACCGGATGTGCTAGGGCACCAGCTCGGAAGCTAGAGGAGAGAGTGCGGTGAGGCCGCTTGTTGGTCCACACCGGATGTGCTAGAGCACCAGCTCGGAAGCTAGAGGAGAGAGTGCAGTAAGGCCGCTTGCTGGTCCACACCGGATGTGCTAGAGCACAAGCTCGGAAGCTAGAGGAGAGAGTGCAGTAAGGCCGCTTGCTGGTCCACACCGGATGTGCTAGGGCACCAGCTCGGAAGCTAGAGGAGAGAGTGCAGTAAGGCCGCTTGCTGGTCCACACCGGATGTGCTAGAGCACCAGCTCGAAAACTACAGCCCCGCCATTGGACTAAACAACATCTCATCAGAACGCTTTACAGATATGTTACGACTGATCCGGCAGCCAGGGTCAAGCGAGATGATAACAGATCTTCGTCGTCCCCACGTAGCTCTGCACAAGTCCACAAAGTACATCAGATGCTAGTCGAAGCATACCATATTTACTTCCGAAGAAGACTGTTGTGTTGTTGTTCATTGGTGTTTTCGGGCGCGTCGACTTCAATGGTCATTTTGCGCCCATAACGATGAAGAATGTTGTGTCTCTTCTGAGCCCATGGCCTTAACCCTGGATGACCCCGTACGTGCGGTCATTGGACACGACGATGATATTGTCACATTTCCTGTGAAATGCCTACAAACAACGCTTGGCGCAACAGATGTGACCTGACATGACGATTATCTCAGATCATCATTTCACTATTCCTGAAATATCTCACTCACTGTGTTTCATGATACAAATGGTCTGAGGACACATTTTACCCCATTTTCCAGACTTGCCCAGGCGTGACGATGACAAGATGACACGTTATGACACCTAGATGACACCTAGGTGTCACCAGATGACACCTTCAGGACGTGCCACAAACCGCTGTGACGTTCCTGTGTAACACCTCAACACCTGAGCTATTAGGCAAGATGGCTTGGCGCGCACAGAGCTGATAACACGCCACGGAGCGTCAATTTCCCACTTCCTCGCGGTGCAGAATTTTTGAGCATGACCTCATCGGTCGATAGCTCCAATGACCTGAAGAGAAAGGAACTTAAGCATGCCGGTCTCATGTATGAGGATTTGGGAACCGACTGGCTGAAGCGCCGTTACAATCCGCCGAACGGTTGAGAAGATGCATGAAGAGGCGTGAAGCGTGTTGTACCTCTTATCATCAGCGCTTCTGCCCCACGTGCCGTACTCAGGGCAAGGGGGCCCTGCCCCGGCAGGAGTCGCTTGAGGGGGGGGGGGGGCAACAGGGAACAGTAAGGTGTCTAATTAGCACATGCAGCCAAATGACCGAAATGAGTGCTTTCGACTATAGTTGGAGGTTGTTTAGTATCGTTGAGCAACACGCTAAAGAAAGTCAACGGACTCGATCGCCCTCAGGGTGTCCAATTACACGCCGACATACTAATGTTTATGAATGCGTGAAATGGACGTCTGTGACGTTCAAGTCCACGACGCAGTCGACACGGCCCCACGTGTGTGGCGCAGCACGCTGCAAATTATGGTTGATTACCATTGGAGAGCGACAGTTTCCGGCGGCAGGATGCCGATGGCCCGTCAGCCTTGGGCGTCCAAGGCCAGGCTGGAACGCGCTCTGCGCGATCCAAGTGGAAACGGGCACAACACCGTTCATTGTCAAAACTTCTCCAGGTGGGGTGGTTTCATTCCCTGGGGAGATGGCGGGTCGCTCATCGAGCGCTCCGTACCGCTGCCTCCCCTTGTTCGATCCTGGGAGCGCGGCGTTGTAGCATACAGAACTCCAGGTTCATCTGCGAAGCGCCTCATGAGCGATGCCAGATTTTGACGACCGGACGGCACGCTGTGATCGTGAGTTTCGCTGCTGGCGCACCACTCCGCCCTTCTGAAAGTGTGCCGTTGTTTTTTGTGTTGACATGTAACGGCTCAGCGTGAAATTTACGCGGTCCTAGTTTTAAAGTTTTGTTATGTTTTTTTATGTTTTCTTTATCAGCTACAGCGAATTTTACCAAGTCATTTCAGTTTATCAAACGTGCAGACATACAGAATAGTGGGTCGGAGAAACGGTGTCCTGCCAGTCATGCCAGATGATGCACGGAATTATTCACAAACCGGTGGTACTCTTGAACAAAGAGGGAAGCTTTGAAAAACAACAGAACGTAAAAGAAGACAAGGTCAGGAACAGTTCAACACCAGAAACAAGAAAGGCCGTTTCCGTTGCACCTTGTTCGAACCTGCAGGGTCGCACCACGCGACCATTGCGACCACCATTGCGACCCCCTGGCTTCACCACGGCTCACTAGTGGAGGAGGCGTCCCGGGACGCTAAGCTCGGCATCCTGGAGGGGCCAGACGCCACCACCAGTGAAACGCCTCACCAGGGCGGGGCGTGCCACATGACGCGGGGACCAGGGCGGGGCGGGTCACATGACGCGGGGACCGGGGCGGGGCGGGTCACGTGACGCGGGGACTCTCACCCCGGAGAAGCGCAGGACGGGGACTTGCGAGCCGCGTCATGCTGCATTGTTGATGAAGACGCAGACGCCGCCTTCACAGTCTGCGACGGACAGTCTGCCACGGCTAGTCTGCCAGTGAAAGTCTGCCACGGGCAGTCCGCGCGGACAATCCGCCACGGGCAGTTTGCCACGGACGGCCTGCCAGAGCCAGTTTTCTACGGCCAGTCTGCACGTTCAGTCTGCCACGGCCAGTCTGCATGGCCAGTCTGCCACGGCCAGTTTGCCACGGCCAGTCTGCCATGGCCAGTCTGCCATGGCCAGTCTGCCACGGGCAGTCTGCCACGGCCAGTCTGCCATGGCCAGTCTGCCACGTTCAGTCTGCCACGGCCAGTCTGCCATGGCCAGTCTGCCACGGCCAGTCTGCCCCGCCGGCGTGATGGCGTGATGTCAGCGCATGCGAGGCCGCTGAGTCACACGGAATCAGGGGCGGTTGGAACGGAGCACCCAGCAGCCCTGAGTCGCATCACTATAAACGCTTCCGGTCCAGCCATCCGGGAGAGCAGATTTCATGAGTCATGTTTATAAAAGGACCGGGCGCAGAACCCCGCCGCTGGGTCTCGTGACTCGGTCGGCGATCGCGCAGACAACCCGCCGACCCACGCCGACAGTGATGGGGCGAAAGAAAAGAAACGGGATATAAATCGACCAGCTCCGAGCCATCAACAGGCTAAACACAAAAGCGCGCCATAAGCATCGCATGATATGAGGAAAGCCAATTCTACCGATATAATCTTTATAACGGGAAAGGCGAATCGTAAAAACAGGCTCCAGCAAGAACGGTAACCGCACGGCACCACCCGGCGCATCTGTGGGCAATGGCTGCAACACAGCACCTGACAACGGAGCGCGCAGCGTCGGCTTATGTCCTGCCGCTACATCCAGTGGCGCTGGGCCGCGCCGCCCGCAGCCGGCTGCTTCACAGCCGTGTCTTGCGAGTTGCCAACAGAGCGGCCGGCCCGGCGCTCATCGGCGCCCCGCCGGGAGCGGGCAGGGGTCGGCGGCGGCGGCGCCCCCCTGCGCCGGCCGCCGCCGTCGGCGACAGCCCGATGGATGGCGCCGCGATGATCCGGCGAGCGACCTCGGCGGCCGCGGCGCGCCGTAATGCGCCCCTTACGCCGCCGGCTCCGGCTCCGAGGCTCCCGGGGTGAGATGCGCCGCTCCCACTGCGCGTCTATCGAGTTTCTTCCGGGGGCGCGCACACGCCA